TCACGAAACATCAATTTTCTTTGTCCCTTAACCAAATTGGGCTACACACCAACAATACCTCAAAATTATCCGAAAAAGAAACACCAATATTCAACCGAACAGAATCAATTAACAGATACAAATCCAAGTATATTAAGATTGATTCGATATATATATATATAGATATATATATTAAAAAAAAACTAACCTTGTTCGAAGGCCTGGAATGAGATTCGAAGATCCGAAGGCTGCGAGTGATCGAAAACCTGTCTCTGGGGCGGTTCGAAACCCTAGGAATCGAAGTCGCCGGAGGGAGAAAGGGGCGGCGGAGGAGAGCCTGAGAGTAGGACGAGCTCAACATTCTTAATCGCTTCGAAATCGAATCTCCGTTTGCGAGAAGCGAGTCAGAGACTCGGAATCCGATTCTCGAAGGTTCCGAGAAATGTGCGCATCGGAGAGGCCGTACTGTACGCTTTCGTGTTTGACGGCTTGAAGTTTGATTGAGTTGAGTCAAGCTACTAATTTTCCCATAGGAAAAACGAAACAGATTACTCCGTTTGGCTAGATTTTTTTTCTTTTTTGAATTTATTATTGAAATGTTGGTGGGGAAGAAAAAAGAATGTGTATATATGTGTATATATATTTTCTGGCTGGGAAATTAGGTGGACTTGAGGGGGTGTTTGGAAACACCTTTAGATATATATCGTTTACCAATTCCCTCTGGGGTTAAATCACAAGTGTGATTAATTAATAATGACACATGGATATTTCTTCTGTGTGTACATATAGGTGAGGTGTATACACGTGTACTAGGCATTATTGGGTAATTTGTGGTTGAAACTTGAAAATTGGATTTCGTCTGTGTTTGGGGAAACCTCTTTTCCAAGGAATTTCCCTCGTCTGGCCAGGAATCTAGCACTTAATTTAGGGCAGATTAACCGGATGAACTCATAACTAATCAAGAAAATAAATGTACTTAGCCTAGTGGCATTGTGCTTATTTGTTTTGATTTGATAGACCAACTTCAAGATATCTGTAAAGTGCTTGTATGTTTAAGCCACCGACTTAATAAAATATGCCAAAAAAATTATAGATTTTATCTTTTTAAGTACCCGACTTATTAAAAATATTAATGTTAAAAAACTCTATCTCTTAACTAGTTTTAGTCTAAAAGGTAAAAATATATGAACTAATGTTTAAGTGATAGAAATAAAAAAAGACTCCATTTCAATGGATATTTTTAAAAATTTTCTTAAAATGTTATGTTTTGTTTCTTGACATAAGTAATTATAACTCAATATGAACATTTCTTAACGTGTGGAGGTCCTTACGTTCACATCCTAAGAGCTAACTATGATTGGTCGCTCTTCCTCACACTTTTTATTCACCAAAAAAGGAAAATGATAGAAGTAAATATAATTGGTAAAAAAATGAAAACAAAAATTTAGAGCAAAAAATTTAAAGGAACATTAGGAATATAAAAGTAGATAATACTAGTTTAAAATTATTTTCTTCATGAATTTTAGAATTTTCTCAGGTTTATCATACTTTAGAGATTCCCGATTAAATTTACAATCCAAGTTTTGGTATCCTTTAAATAGTTTTATCCACAGTTTAAAACCCAAAGTAGAGTAGTAATATTTCAACAAAGAGCAGGTCCAATTTGATGCCACATAGTAAAAATTTAAATTATTATACTGTAATAAAAAAGGTTAAATTTGAATTTTTGTGAAAGAAAATACTGTAGTAAAAATTTAAATTATTATTTGAATTAGCGAAATGAACAGGCCTTTCCCATGCATATTGGAATGATATTTTGGGATTCAGCATTTTGAAATTAGTCTTTGACAGAAAGACCCTTTATGAGATTCTCTCGAAAATGGAATCCAAATAGCAAAGATTCACTGAACAGCTCGACTAGATGGCATGCCGTATGCAAAGCGAGAGCCATGAATCAGTTGAACACACGCAAATCTGAAACTGTTCAAGCAAGTTTTGCTTTCTGCTGTACAATTTTTCAGAAAATGGTAACCATCTAGAGAGCTTTGCACTACATATTGTAGTTCATTCCCACCTCAATCAAACATATACGAGGAATATTCAAGGCCACGGCAGGAGATCGGCAGTTTTTACGGAGGAAAGAATACACCACATTGACTGCAAATCTGTGCAAAAATGGTGAATTTGACCTTGCCTTTATATGCGAGTGGCCTATAATATAAGTCACCCCAGCACATTTGGCTGCAACAAGCTCCAAAAGCTCTTCCTTGACGCGAGGATCCTTGTAATTTGTATCCAGCAACTCAAACCGAACCCGCTTCCTACAGTTGAGTTGGGGTGATTCTTGCTCATAACTAGCCTGCAAATTCTGAAGCGTGGGTGACTTGTAGCCACTCACAACCACTGTTGGGTGCGAACTACTGCTTCCTCCAGGACCAAACAAGTCTGCTATCGCTAATCTTGTACCAAACTTTTCAGATGTCTTCACAACTGCCATCCGGCCATCCACAGAGCCGTCAACAGCCCCACAACCTTCCGCTTCCATCTGGATGAATTCTGCTATGCTCATCACTAGATCATTTTCTAAGTCATCTCCATCTCTGTATGTATCTTTATAACCATTCCGGATAATACAGCGGTACAGCCGATAGGATTTGGGACCAATCCGACCAATGAGATACCTCTCTTTATGGGGTACATGAGAAACAGGAACAGTTTTAACACAGACAAAGACAACCACTTGGTAAAAGGCCGGTAAAGTCGTTACGAAGTGAGTAAAAGTAGCGGGGACTCCACTAGCTAACTCAGTGTAGATAAGACCAATCCCAGGAACTCTAATGATCCCAAGACTAGGACCCAGTGAGAGAATCCACCTCATGGAGAGTTTGGTATGTTGATCGTACAAATATTTATTCCTCAAACCATAATGCCATGCATACATAGTGAGCAAGAAGATCAAAGCAAATGCTAGAGGAACCCATCCACCTTTCGGGATTCTCATACAAGAAGAGGAGAAGTAGAAAATATCAACCGATCCAAAGAGCACTGTGAATAAAAGGGCAAGCACGAGGGACTTCTGCCACACAAGGTTGATGACCAGAAATGTCAACCATGTTGTCACTATTGCTAAAGTCATATACGCAATGCCTGAATAGAGATAGCATCATAGCAAGATTAGATATGAATAAAAGAAAAGGGTAAGGAAAAAAAAATTGATAATGTTGACCCAATCACCAAAATCAACATATGTGCATTTCAAATCATTTTGGATCGAAAAAGCGTTCAGAATGTATCAAATGATTTAGTTATAAGCTAAGTCCGTTCATGTACACACATGCTATTCATTACTTTATCATGGCCACATCATGCATACCGTCACCTAGTCCAACTTACCAAATCAGATTAATATAAATCAGGGTTTTTGGGGCAAACGGCCGAGTTCAGACATGGAAGGTATACAAAACGTGCTCATTGGTGGAATTAACAAGAGCAGTAGAAACGGCATACAACCCATGAACAACAATTAGAAACATATAGTAATAGGTTTCAGATTATTCATAGCAAAGATGACCTACCATAAGCATTTCCTATAAGCTTTGTGCTTCGAAATCCCATTGTAACAGCGAGGCTGAGAACCATCAGGATCCAGTTTATCTCTGGAATGTATATCTGACCAGGAAGCCATCTCCTGCTATGTACAATCTTGACACGTGGGAAACATCCAAATGCATGGCACTCTTTGACAACTGAGAACGTGGTAGAGATAACTGCTTGACTAGCAACTATTCCAGCCAAAGTTACCACAAAAAAAACTGGCCAAAAGAAGGTATCTACAAACACGGCAAGAATATTCTGTAAACAAATTAGTTAATAGGTCTTTAGGAAACGCATCTTAAATAATAATTAATAAAAGCACCAAAACATATAATACATTATTGTTCCTTGATCACAAGGACAGAAAAACCAAATGGTGTGAACCAATCTCTGAAGTCTGGACGCCCCCCTCTCAAATAATACTTAAGTCGGAACAAACGTGAGAGAATAATACTAACCATGAAATTCATGACTTAAATATGTGGTGTGTTGCATTTATAGAGTGTATAGAAAGATTATTGCAATAAACGTCTGCGCACGCAGATATGCTTACCAGGAACAGAAGCAAAAAAGCTCATAGGTGCAATGCCTCATAATTGCACAAATCCTCATAATACCTTCTACACATTTTACAGATTGTATAGAAAGATTATTGCAATAAACATCTGCGCACGCAGATATGCTTACCAGGAACAGAAGCAAAAAAGCTCATAGGTGCTGCAGATAAATTCTTTGAGAGAAAGGCAGCTTGCCCCATGTATTGAAGTATCAAACATGGATAAATAACACAAGTAAATGCAACCTGCAATGCAGCATTCAGTCATAGAAATGAAAATAAAGCAAAAACAGCAGGATCAGCTAACTTAAGCGAATGGTTCAGAATAAGTACTTAAGTATCAAACATGGATAAATAACACGAGTAAATGCAACCTACAATGCAGCATTCAGTCATAGAAATGAAAATAAAGCAAAAACAGCAGGATCAGCTAACTTAAGCGAATGGTTCAGAATAAGTACTGATGCAAAATAAAGCTGCAAAGTAACGACTTGAAGCATAGCCTTCACTTTTCAAGAGGAATAATCTAAAAGTAGGATCTGTTCAACTGTTATTCAAGCCAACAATGACAAGACACTCAAACCCCTTCTCTTAAAAAGGTTACGAAAAACATATAATAATATCTAAGGCCATTAGTCGGTTTGCCTTAAGAGCAATCCAGAGAGTGAAACAGCGAGATGTAAAGGCCTTTTTTTTTTTTTCCAAAAATGATTTGGTAAAAGTCTTGGCTGTTTAAGCAAACATGTACATGACATGTTTCAATTTTAGAGAGCAGCAACGACATATAGAAATTATTTTAAGGGAGGCCCATATTCAGAATCAACCTTCCAGGCCTGACAAAGACAGGACCCATTACAACGTATAAAAAGACAAGATGAACAAAATAAAGTTAGCTTCTATGCATTTTAATGTGAACGTTGATAGGTTGCCACAGATTAGATCAGCAGAGTTTCTTTTAAAGACAGCACCTAGAGTCAAAAACTCAAATTAACCTTAAACCCTAAGTAATTCAGGTTCACTTTGGGAACTAACAACAACTTTATTTGTGTTTGGAAGCCTAGCCTAAATTGTTAGAACAATGGTAATTTCTCCTCTTTTTTTTTTTTTTAAAAAAAAAAGGAAGGTAAATTCCTTCATCGTATTTCATCACATTTTGTTCACATTAACTAGCAAGAAATAAAAGTTTCCTTTTGCAACCGCTGGTTGTGCATACCCTGATTGATGTTGCAGTGAAGTGGCCAAGATTTGCAAACATAGCTTCACTTCCTGCAGATTACAAGAAAACGTGAAATAAATAGAACATGAATAGGTCTCGAACAAAGCTAGATGAAGGGGGGAAAAAAGGTTCACACTTAATATTTACCAGTAAGACATAAAAGTATTCCTCCAAGAGAAATAAAACCATCTTTTCCTGTAAGCTTAAAAAAATTGTAACCATAATATGGAGAAAGAGCCCGATATACAACTGGATTCCACCTAAGAATATTATAGATTCCAACAGCAGCAATGGACAGCAACCATAGAATCACAATGGGAGTAAACATGAATGCCAACTTGTGGAACCCACGGTGTTGCAAGACAAAAAGGAGAACCAATAGAAAGCAGGCGATAATAACCACGGTATCTGCATTGTTATAAAGAGCATTTAGTAACTTGAAAGGCACTAAGGGCACAAAATAATGATTCTATAATTTGAGGGCAGCGAGGAAAACAAAATTCATTCCGAGACTTACTGCTATGTACATCCTTTGATCGAAATTTTAGCCCTTCAATGGAAGAAAAAACTGAAACATGATTTGCATAAAATCAATCAAAATTTCTGTATAAGTATTTCTGACAACCTGGAAGATTTAAAAAAAAAAAAGAGTAGTGCCTTTACCTGAAATTGCAGGTGCAAGAGC